GACAGGAACAATGCATTTTGCATGGACAAAGCAAAGTCCCCTTCACTCAAACTTACAGTTGAGGTTGCAGCACATCTAAATAAAAACATTAAGTTTCATGGAAGGAACAGTCTGTCCATTAAATCAGGGCCCATCAGATTAATGAGGGGGCACAAATATGACCATGACACATTAAATTTGCTGCCTACTAGCAAAAAGGGACCTCTCCTTGGATCCCCTTGCTCTCCTCGGCCGAGTAATAGTAACAAAATACTTATAGAAAAACTCCACACATAAAATTGTTTTTTCTAAATGCACTATTTAGTACCTATACAGCTTCAATGAATACATACATTCATTTATTGAAACATGTTGCAGTATTGTATATCTAATAAAGCTTACAAAGCTGCAGTTCTTACAATCTCTATGCCTGTAGCCTTTGGAGGCACTCCCTTTTCATTTAAGAGAGTTTCATTGGGGGCCTCATAATATAATAATGCCTTTTGGGGTCTGCAATTGTCTTGGCGTGAACACTTCTTGTCAAATCGCAGACTTTTTCATTGAGCTGTAATACCGCGATGGAGCTCAGGGTATTGTACACAATCAAGAGAACCCGTGTGTGACAGTCTGCGTCTCCCCAACCTTGTATGCTCTGTAGTGCTGCATCAGCCCTGCCATGTTTGTTTATGAAATGGCTGGGTTGCAGCTCCATATTGATTCACCAGCATGCACACAAGCTCTTCGCACGACAGTTGAGAAACAGGATGATCAAATACAATAGAGGGGATGAGGGTGGGAGCGACGAGTGGAGTAGACTAACTGATGAGGAAGTTGAATGTCCCTAATAGCTTGTTGAGTTACAGCTGGGTAAGCGTTTCTGATTGCATGTATAAAAAGGACAGATTTCTCATGGAGAACAGCATTTTTATAATATGCACTTTAAATGGATAAAAGCTGAAATGCTAAAGGCCCAGTGAAAAATATTACAATAGGCCATGAAAATGTATATATAAAGTTTGCAGTTCCAGTATATAATGGAATTAAAAAGAAATAAGCCTTGTACACTGTGTGAAAACATTGTTAGCTTGCTTTATTTTCTTTAGGAGCTTGCCATTTGCTTTCTCTTAAAGTGTCAATCCATCACCATAAGTACACATATCCTAAATGGTTGTATCGAAGGCAAGAGTGCTATGTTTGTCTCCCTTCATTTTCGACATACTGCTACAAACATGGCTAAAATGGCAGAAGTAGCAATCTGTGACATCATAGGGGAAACATCTTATCCTGTCCGGTACATGATTACATTTGAGCACTAAAACACCATACAATGCTGAAGTGACTTGTACTGGCTCTATGACAGCTTTCTATGACAGAATATGCAAAAAGCCCACATAAGGAGCTATAGGTCCTTTTCTTTACTTGCTTTATTAAGAAATGTAAGTGAGGATTTCACTCAGGATGCAAAAGGAGCTATAGAAGGTATTTATTAACTATCAAGTAAAAGTCAACCATGTGTTCTCCATAAAAGAAAAGTACTCAGTCAAATCTGTGCTACCAGCTTTTAAAGAAGCGACGCCAGTGTGGTTTTGACATACATGGTTGCATAAACTATTCTTAAATGATATATGAACAATGAGTTGCGATGAGGGTCTGGGGTGGAAGATTCTGAGTTTTCACAACCAGCTGCACTGCTGGGACTAAGTGGAGATATCCTGACCATGTTATATTCTTGCAGTTAATTTATTTTTTTTTCAGGTTTCTAGCCCTCACTCACAGTTTTTGTTTTTCTATTTCAAAAAAAAAAAAAATCTGCAGTAAATTGTACAAATCCATAATTCATATAGAACTAAGAATAAAATATTTAAAAAGATAAATGAGGTTTTCTACATATCCACTGATAGACAGGTGTTTCTGGGATACATGCAGCTCAGTTGAGTAGCAGACTGATTCATCTCAGCCATTTCTCACTGTGCAAAACTACCAGGACATGAATTTAAAAAGGACCACTATAGGCACCCAGACCACTTCCAGCTTAATGAAGTCTGGTGCCAGGTCAATTTAACCCTTTTTCTATAAAAACACAGCAGTTTCAGAGAAACTGCTTATGTTTTATAATAGGAGTTAATTCAGCCTCTAGTAGCTGTCTCATTGACGGTAAACTAGAAACGCTTCTAACTGATTTTCACAGTGATAAGGCGCCAGCGTCCATAGGAAAGCGTGAGAATGCTTTCCTATGGACTAACTATCTTGTAGCGGCTCCTGCCCAGCATGCATTCAGCAGATGTTTGTCGCTATGGAGGGAGGAGCAGGAGGGAGAGTTCCCCACCCGGCACTGGAGAAGAGGTAAGTTTAACCCCTTCACTCCCCTAGAGCCCGGGAGGGAGGGCCCCTGAGTGGGGCACCCTCCAGAGGGGCACTTTAGTGCCAGGAAAACAGGTGTGTTTTCCTGGCACTATAAATCACTTTAATGCAGAAGAAACATTCATAAGTATCTTGCCATAAATTATTTTGAGCAGGCTCCTCATCACTATTGTTTCTAAAACATTTTGTAATCTCATTGTTAAAATGTATCCCTTTTATAATATTGTAAAGCTCAGCGGAATTAGTTGGCGCTATATAAATACCAATAATAATTTATCAGTTTAACAATATCATAGCCTAAGAAACTGTAGATTTGTCACAGATAAAACATATGGCACCGCAGCAGCTTTGGTCTAAAATTCCCCTTTTTCTAACAGCAGGCCAACTCTCCTACTTTATTTACAAGAGTAACGAATAAACTACATTGTTTCATAGGACAAGGTCACTTCAGATTTGTCAGTATCAACAAAGCATGGCTTTTATTCACCTGGCTTATTCTCAGAATAAAATGTGTAAGATTATCAAACGTTTGCTACCAATATCATGTTGTGTTTATTCTATCTTCCCAGATGATTCCTACTATTACTATACGTATCTAAATAGTGGAACCAGCATGCAATGGGCACTTGTCTACCACTTTTGCTTTTCATTTTTTTTTGGCAATAGCCAAAATGTTAAAACATTTCTAAGGATACAAAATGAGAAGATAGTCAGGAAATCATATGCATGCTTGGAAATTTCCTGATCACAGGAAACGTAAGTGAAAATGTGGTAATGAAAATGCCTTACACTGCTGAATTATTTAAAAAAAAAAAAAAAAATGTTAAGACAAGTAAACCTTTCTTGCATTGGACCATAAGAGGTTTCCCAGGTGACAGATCCACATTAAATATTATAAACTATCACACTACACTCACTGCAGTCAGATTTATTATAGATTGTTATTGGATATTGCCATTCTAACCTTTAACTATAGTGAGATTGTTACAATACGTATATTTAATGAGTACTTGTTTCCATCTGAAGAGGATTCAAAGCAGTTTGTCTCTCTAACATAAGAGCTCACAAATAGATGTACAGCAGAGAAATAGAACTGAAATAAATCAACCAAATACAATATGTTTTTATATTTCCCCTGTGATGCAAGCTCTCCCAACAATATCAGGATCTCTGTACATACATTATTTTCTGGTTTAGTTTAAGAAAATCTATATATTCATGGTGTGTTTTTTACATTTCACGTGGCTATTCTTAAAGATGAGCATGGCAAAAGAGGAACTAAACTATACAAAGCAACAAAGCCCATACAAAACCTGGCTTCCTAGCAGAACACAAAGAGGTGCTGTCCTTGACTGCATTTATATGCAACAGGAACAGTGACCGCGCCTGACCTGATTAACCCATCAGCTGCCAGCAAGACATGCTCAAAAATATCAGCCTGTCACTTTCAGGCTTGCTTTGAAACCCTCTCTATCCCCCCTCCCCATTATAAAAAATACTATATAAAACAAGGATGGACAATCTGTACTCATAATATTTAAAGAACTATTATCACTACCCTGAACTGGTAACATTCTCTTAGTAAATGACAAAACCCTGCTACCCACATGTTTTTCTGTATTTCACAGTAGCATTATATCCATGCATGACATGTGAATGAAAAAGGAAAAAAAAAAAAAAAAAAAAAAGTATACAGATGTCACACAATTTGGTACTCTGGTGAATATCCTGCAGAGATGAGAATCAAATCAAAAAAAATACTCAAGAAAATAAATAAAATAAAAGCTCCTTTGTGTCCAGATTCTATAAAATGGCCTTTGTTTAAATACAACTACAGTTTACAGTTGCCTTGTAGAACTCAACTGTTGCAGACAACAAATCAGGTCATTAGTCATGTATAATGCAGTATATATTTTCTACTGTACATTGTTGCATGTTTTTTTTTCAAAAGCTGCCCATTAACATGTAGTAAACAAACCCTGGAAAACCATTGTGGGTTTGGCAGTCCTAACCACTGCCCAATGTCTATACCTTCTAACAGATCAGTGTTGTCTAAACTCTGGCACCCTAGCCTTCAATGGACTAAGCTTTAGGGTTAGGCAACCTTCGATACTCCAGATGTTCTGGACTACATCTCCCATGATGCACTTACTCTACTATATAATTCTGGCAAAGCATCATGGGAGATGCAGTGCAGAACATCTGGAGTGCCAATGGTTATTACTGGACTAAGGTCCCAGGGCTGGTTGGGGGATAGTTCAACACAACTAGAGTGCCAGAGGTTAACCAAAACTTCAACATGAATCACAGGGAAAGTCAGGGAAGAAAGGGTAAATAAGGACAGAGAAAGAAGAAAAAAAAAAAAGAGCCCAATTGTGAGGTCTGCCAGATCCACCGAGTGTTTGAAGACCCATGTTTTATTCTCTGCACACTGATTGGCAACACGAGAAAGTGCTGCCCGGCAGCGTGGGGGATTCATTAACCCGAGAGTTTAAATTGTGAATGCACTATACTGCAACACGTGGAGTGTGCACGCCGCAGCCTAGGGCAGCGCTATTCGTGTCCTTCCCACCAGCATGCGATGTGGTGATGGTGCCCAGTAAAACATGGCCGCTCTGGCTCTCCCCATCCCAGGCTCACCGCCGCCCTGGCCCGCTCACCTCATTCGGTCACTCCCGCGGTGACAGCGATTCCCACGGCTGAAACTCGAGCGGGCGCTTCAGGCTGGGCCTCGGCCGCCGGGTCCTCCCTTCGGGTGGAGGAGCGGTGGTGGGGGGGTGGGGTTAGCGCCGGTCACGGCTTACAAAACATACACAGAGGACCCGGTTCGGTTACAAGCCTTCGCCATTTTGGTTTCCCGCGGAGCGCGCACTGCACTCTGGGAGATCAATACAAAAAAGCTAGCTCTCAGCAACCGCCGCCGGGCAGCGCCATAGAGGGAGCATCGCGTGAACGTGGGGCGGCCATCTTGGAAAAGGGCAAAAAAAAAAATCACTTCACTCCCCCTTTTCATAGAGGTTATATCATGGAAAATAATAACCCACTAACATGAATATTAATTCATAGGTTCAGAGGCATAACGAAGATATATGTTTGTAAATATTACATTTTTATGATTCCTCACTCCCCCATTTCACAGGCACATTGAATGGTAACATAAAAATATAGTAATATCTATTTAATATGTATTTTAAAGGGATCTCAGATAACCAATGAATTGCATGTTAGAAGGGGAGCTGTCCCATGTTGTCTTTTAGCAGGACTCTATGACGTCTATAACTAAAAACAGCTTAAAAAAAACTAATCTATGGACTATGCTACTGGGTCTTTCCATCTCAAGTGGTCCAGTCATTTGCTCGACTATTTTTAGTATTCCTATTTTATTGAGTGATTACGTCTATGTATTGGTACAACTGCAAGATCACCATTTTGTTTAATTTTTATTTTATTTTGTTAACTACCGAAGACATCTTTGTGTCATGGCACAAAACAAATATTGGATATAGTTTATACAGATAGTTATGGAAACCAGGGGAGGGCTGGCAAATGGAACAGGGGTATTTTCCTCCTGGGCCACTAGTATAGGAAGGTGTGTGGGCTCCTGCCTCACAGCACAGTACTAAATATATGCTATTTTATAATTATTCTATTCTAGTAATTGCAGTATGCCAGACTAAATTTCCTCTCTAGTCGGTCCTCTCACACCTCAGCCATCTGCCAGTCCTTTTATTGGCTTCCTGTATCCTACAGGAGTCTACGGAATCTGATAGCTCTATATAAATAATAAAATAATAATAGGAGTCAATTCAACGTACTAACCCATACCTATAAAACAATGAACAATTCTAACCCCTCTTATATCTCTTTACAGGTGTGCCCCTTCTTGGTCTCTCCGCTCTGCCCATGACCTTATCCTGACCGCTGCTCGTATCCATACGGCCAACTCATGCTTGCAGGACTTCTCGCGGGCAGCTCCCTTCCTGTGGAATAGCCTGCCTACTGCCATCAGACTCTCCCTTAGTATTCAATCGTTTAAGAAGTGCCTTAAAACCCATCTCTTTAGGAAAGCTTATGGCCTCCCAAAATAAACTCACATACCTGTCTCTTGCTCTCTCCTAAAGGGCAGCATCCTATTCTCTCCTCCAACTCTGCTTCACTCAAACCTTATTTGATTGCTATCTCCTGTCCTGTTGTGTTTTATACCCCACCTCCTATAGACTGTAAGCTCATTTGAGCAGGGTCCTATCGTTCCTGTAAGTTTTCTTGTAATTGTCCTATTTACATGATATGGGAATCACTTATTGGTCTGTCTTCATCTCTGTAACCCCAAATCGTGCTTGACTGACGTCTCAGGGATAAGATGCGAAACGGAAGTGTTATTCATGTTATTACATTATATACGGTCATCTACCAGAAGCAAGCAGCGCTGAACATTCTGCCTAAAGGAACACCACTTGCCCAGTCGTCACACATACTTCAGATGAAAAGGGCAGAATGCCACCCTTCTCTATCATACTTCATCATGGTTCCCAGCACAGCCACACTGTGATGAGAAGTGTGGGAACTGCGAGGTAGCATGAGAGACAGAACCTAAAACAGCCGGAGCACAAGACATACAGTTCTCCCTCACTCCTCCTGGCTGCTGGCCTGCTGCATTAAAAAACATTGCCAGTGTACTGGCAGCCTTGATGCAGCAGGGTGGCCATGACACCCCTTTTGTGTGTCTTACCCCCTTGTATGTCTCTTATTCCACCTAGATGGTGCGACTCTCGGTCACCTGGAGATTGTGCCCCCGAGGCCATTGCACCCTAAAGGGGTCGCCTATCTTTTTTATGATTGCGCCGCTCCTGCTAACATGCCACCTTCAGTGGGCAGACATCTAAAAGGCCTGCCCATCTATCATGATTACATTCCTCCCAACGTTGGGATGTATGGCTAAGCCCTGCCATGCTGGACAAGCACATTGAGTATTATTGTCAGCTCACCACTCAGTAAATGAACTAAGCCCTGGATCACCGGATTTAGCTCATTCAGAACGATTACGGCTGTCATGGAGCTGGTGACTGAACCTTAGGTAAGTTGTCAAAGTATCAGCAAACGGTTTGACTCCTTATACTGGCTGGATGCCAGAGCACTCCAGGATCCATAACCACTACATCATGTTGTAACGGTTATGGCACTTACAACGTGCCTTCAACAGAAAATTGTTCCTAAGTTCATAAACAAATCCTGTTTAAATCATGTGAAATGACATGTTAATCAAGTGCAAAAAAAGCCCCATAAACATTGCAGCAATAACACAATGTATTCTCGATTCATAAAACACTTAAAAAAAACAAAACAAAAAAAACTAATGTTGCACACTATTTTAGCCAGATATGCCAAAATGCTTTGATACATTGAACCTACAATAAATAAAAGCAAATGCCAAATAACTGACAAGAGGAATGTAATATATCTCAGCACCACAAATCCATCTCAGCAAATTTCTCTGTGGTTATTTTATTCATCATTCTGATATGTTAAAAGAATTAAAAATGCTGACAATTGAAATTCAGATGTACATTTCAATTTTCTTGATTGAATTATATTACTACTTTTCCAGTAAAGTCTCACATTTCTTTGTACAGGCTGAACATGATTCATAGTTTCTTCTGTTGGAGGAACAATGGTGGAGGGTCTGTCTCCTATGTGTGGAATTTTGGCTGCAGTTTCTTAACATAGAAACATAGAATGTGACGGCAGATAAGAATCATTCGGCCCATCTAGTCTGCCCATCTAGTCTTCCACTTCTATTTGCTCAGAGGCGTCTTCATTCCCATTTTCTGTATTGTAAACCATTTCTGAAAAGTAACCCTTGGGGGACTTATCAAAAGCAGTGCCTTGGGCTTTGTCAGACCCATCAGCAGATTCTTTTCCTTTTCGAACCTTCACTACTGTTGATTTCTGAAGATCAATGTTTTTTGGTGAACTCCAATCTTGTGGTTAATCTCTGCCTTTGAAAGTCTCATAGTCCCTTCTAAGTAAAGATATTACAGACATACTGGAATTTAATCCATATGGAGTTGTGGACCCTGTTTTAAGCTTAAACATTCTCTGTATCACAAACGATATTGCCTGACTCCCAATCTTCATCTTCTGCATCACTCTTGTCAGCCTGATGTTGAGGTTTTGCAGCCGACCTGAATCAGATCTGCTTTGGGTAGCAAATAAGTCAGACCCCGCAGGGCTATCATCCTGTCAATTTCTCTTTTTCCAAGTGTCTGTTTTCTCTATCTCTCCCTCCGAATCAACGGCCACAATTAGAATATTGTTCTTCGACAGTGAATCTTTGGGCTTCCTAGGCCCAAACAGATTCTCTGTCTTAGCTTCTTGAGTTATCCTGCCAAGACTGAGTGGGAAATTCTGCTCTTCCCCTTCCTCTGCTAACATCTCTCTGTTGCCTCCCAGACTAGCTATCTAAATTTTTTTAATCCCAAAATCTTCATTATGGTTAAGTCCTATAAAGTTCACCTTTTGATCATCTATGGTTATTCATATTGCTGACAAATTACTCATTATACTTTTTAGGCCAGTTATTTATTCCTTGTTGAGAAGTTCCAACTGTCCTGTGACAAACCTGGGCTAGCAGAGTATTGGGTAATTTCACCTGAGGTGTCTTTGGAGATTGATTTTTCTTGGGGCCTGTTGCAGTTCTACTCATACACTGCAAATAACTTAAGTTCGGAGGTTGGCATGTTTGAATGCCTTGCTGGTTAGCACACATCATGTAGCTAGGCTGGCAACAATGAGTAATGCAAGACATGGAGCAATGTGATTGATTCCTGCATGAGTCATAAGTTGTGCAGCCCAGCAGTAAGGCAAGGCTGAGGTATATTTGGAATAAACTGCACTCTGTAGAAATGAGACAGAGGTGGTATTTTGTAGGCTACCATAAGTGCATTATAAAGCAAATATGACAGCATTTAAATGGGATGGAACAGTCATCCCTGAAATTCTTAAGGATCCTGAGCAACCCAACCTGGAAGGCTGAAGATTCAATGATCCAATGCTAGAAGATGGTTCCATAAACTTGTCCAGAGAATGGCAAAGCTTTTGCTGAGAAGATCCTGTTGTTCATGACCTTCAAGAGGGATGATGTACTTTTTTTTTTACTAGAGGTTTGGAAATGTTAGTAGGTAAGTTTCCAAGCATTGTTTTATAACAATGCTTGGAAACTTACCTACTAACATTTCCAAACCTCTAGTAAAAAAAAAAGTCAGGGTTATGTTGTCACATTCTGTTATGGCCATGGCTTCTGGTATCCAGTACTCTTGTTACAATTCTTGTTTAGTTTTTCTTGGTTGATCTGGTTCTTGATTCTATGTCTGGTATTCTTAATGTTGGGTTTTTCTGGGTTAATTCCTTTATTCCGTTCCTGGAATTCCCAGTGTCCTGGATTCCTTTAAATGTTTGTTTTTTGTTGCCACACCAGTTCCTTTGCCATTTATCCTTTTTGTTTCAGTGTTCCCTGCTATCAGTTGTTTCATTCCTCTGCTTTCCTTGCAGGTAAGTACTGTGCTTGTTTTATTAGTGTACTTTTAGTCATGCATATCTAGGCAGTTAGGACCAACTGTAATTGGAGTACTTTGACGCAGTGGTGGGCTGCATACATCTTGGCCATTTATATATGTCCAAATCTCCAATGTTTATTACATATATTATTCTATATATTTAAAATTCTGGTTCTTGCTTTCAAATCTCTACATAATGCTGCTCCCACCTATCTATCCTTCCTAATACACAAGTATGTCCCGTCTGGGCCCTTTCTATCTTCTGTCCGTACTCCCACCTCTGATGCTCGCCTTGAAGACTTCTCCAGGGCTGCACCAT